CTTGGCTTCCCCCCTGACGCGCCAGGGTGGCAGTTCTACCACCCCACCTCTCGCCGTGTTCTGTCCTCCCAGGACGTCACGTTTGACGAGTCGGTCCCCTACTACCGCCTCTTCCCCTACCGCACTCCGTCCCTCCCCCCACCACCTCTCTTCCTTGTGCCAGGTCCCCCCCCGGTAGACCCCCTCCCCCCTCAGGGTCCTGCCCCTTCAGGTGTGTCCCAGGTAGACGCAGTCGAGCCTGTCGAGGTTACTGGTGACTCTGGTGCTGCTGAGGGTGCTGAGCCTGGGGGTGCTGACTCTGGGGGTGCTGAGCGTGTGGGTGCTACGCCTGGGGGTGCTGAGCCTGAGGGTGCTACTACTGGGGGTGCTGAGCCTGGGGGTGCTGAGCCTGGAGGTGCTACTACTGGAGGTGCTGAGCCTGGGGGTGCTGAGCCTGGGGGTGCTGAGCCTGGGGGTGCTACGCCTGGAGGTGCTGGGCCTGGGGGTGTGGAGCCTGAGGGAGCTGGGCCTGCTTGTGTGGCGTCTGGCGGTGCTGAGCCTGGAGGTTCTCCGGGTGCTTCGTCTCGGCGGGAGCCACTCTCTCCACAGGAGCTGCGCGAGTGGTTTGCCCGGCGCTGGAGGCGTGCTGCTGGAGCTGGAGGTTCTTCGGCTACTGAGGGTGCTGGTGCCGCGGGTCCCGGAGGTGCTCGTACTGGGAGTACTGGAGCTGCTGGGCCTGCGGGTACGACTGGAGCTGGAGCTGCTGAGGGTGTTGACGCTGAGGCTACTGCTGTCGGTCCTGGAGGCGGGCCTGCTGGGGGTGCTACTGGTGCTGCTGGAGGTACTGGAGCTGGAGTTGCTGCTGGCGCTGGTGCTGCCGCTTGGGGTACTGGTGCTGTCCCTGCTGTGTCTGGAGTCGCCGCGCGGCCTCGGCCGTACTTCGTTCCGCTCCTTCAGCAGGTTCTTGGTCTCCCGCCTTCTACTGGCCCTCCTCCTCCCTTAGAGAGTCCACAGCCTGTCCTGTCACAGTTACAGTTACAGCCGGCCTCCCCACTGCCCGCTCCTTCTCCCTACACTGGTCCTACTGGAGGTCTTGCTGAGCGTCGTGAGCCTGCGTCGCGTCCTGCGTCGCCTGTCCGTACTGCTCGCGCTAGTGGTCGGGGTTCGCGTCAGCGTCCTCCTCCTGTCCCTGGCACGCACCGGATGTCTCTGCGTCCGTCCACTGCTCCTCTGCGTGCCCCTTTGCCTTCTCCTCCTGCGTAATCTCTTCCTGCTCTTCCCGACCCAGAGTCGGACTCTCTTCGTGCTGCCAGTCCTACTGTCACGCGTCTCCTTGCTACTGTCGTCACTGACCCTTCCTTTGCGTCCACTGCTGCGTCTGCCCTAGTTGCTGAGCTCGTCGACTTTGCTGCTCGCTGTCGTCTAGACTACGCTGCTTGTCTTGTCGCTGAGTCTGAGTCTGTCTGTCCTCCGTCCGTCGGGGGTGAGTGTGCCCTTGGCACGGACGTCCTTGAGGACAGGCAGGAGGAGTTCCAGTGTTTGGCTGCTGCTTCACCTCATCTCGTGTCCGTACTGCTTACCCCTGAGGGAGACCCGGATGCACTTGACATCCCGACTCCGCGCTCTTACGCGGAGGCGATAGAGGGTCCCTACTCCTCTCAGTGGCAGGCAGCTATGGACACAGAGATAGCTTCCTGGAAGTCCACAGGTACCTACGTTGACGAGGTTCCCCCGCCTGGGGCGAACATCGTCAGTGGCATGTGGATTTTCAGGGTGAAGCGGCCGCCGGGTTCTCCGCCTGTCTTCAAGGCGCGTTACGTGGCTCGTGGCTTCAGTCAGCGGCAGGGAGTTGACTACTTTCAGACCTTCTCTCCCACCCCGAAGATGACCACTCTTCGGGTACTGCTGCACATAGCTGCTCACCGCGACTACGAGCTGTACTCTCTTGACTTCAGCACTGCTTTCTTGCAGGGCAGCCTGCACGAGGAGATCTGGCTGCGTCGCCCACCTGCCTTCACTGGGTCTTTTCCTCCTGGCACCCAGTGGAGCCTCCGGCGGCCAGTCTACGGTCTCCGCCAGGCACCGCGTGAGTGGCACGACACACTGAGGACTACACTTGCGGCTCTTGGGTTTGCTCCCTCTACTGCCGACCCGTCGCTGTTTCTGCGCACCGACACTTCTTTGCCGCCGTTCTACATCGTCGTGTACGTCGACGACTTGGTCTTTGCCACAGCTGACACTGCTGGACTCGCCCACGTGAAGTCCGAGCTGCAGAAGAGACACACGTGCACAGACCTGGGTGAACTGCGCAGCTATCTTGGCTTGCAGATCACCCGGGACAGAGCACGCCGCACCATTACCCTGACTCAGTCACACATGGTGCAGCAGGTCCTTCAGCGCTTCGGCTTCACGTACTCCTCGCCTCAGGCCACTCCTCTGCCTACTCGCCACTCGCTCTCAGCTCTGCCTTCGGATGAGTCCGTAGAGTCGAGTGGCCCGTATCCAGAGCTTGTTGGCTGCCTCATGTACCTGATGACCTGCACACGACCTGACCTCGCATACCCTCTTAGCATTCTCGCACGCTATGTTGCTCCTGGGAGACACAGACCGGAGCACATGGCTGCAGCGAAGAGGGTGTTGCGTTACTTGTGCAGTACGTCGGGCATGGGGCTTGTGCTTGGAGGGCAGAGTCCAGTGGTCCTCACTGGGCACGCAGACGCTTCTTGGGCTGACGACCAGGCTACGCAGCGGTCGTCACAGGGTTACACCTTCAGCCTTGGTTCCGGCTCTGTTTCGTGGCGGGCTACCCACTCGTCTTCTGTTCTCGGCTCCAGTTGTGAGGCTGAGATCTACGCCGGGGCCATGGCTGCACAGGAGCTTCGCTGGCTCACCTACCTACTGACTGACCTCGGAGAGCCGCCTCGTTCTCCTCCAGTGCTGTACGTAGACAACAAGGCCATGCTGGCCTTGTGTCGAGAGCAGAGACTGGAGCACAGAACGAAGCACATTGCTCTCCGCTACTTCCTTGCTCGTGAGCTACAGCAGCGTGGTCAGCTGCGGCTTGCGTACGTGGCCTCTCAGGCCAACACTGCTGATATCTTCACCAAGGCACTTGCGCCTTGTGATCATCAGCGCTTCTGTACTCAGCTGGGTCTTGTGCCCACCTTGCCTCACTTGCTCACCCCTTGACCTTGTTTGTACTGATGCATATATATATATACTCCTGCTCTTGCTTGTCTAGCCTTATATATATATGTAATCCTGCATGTGAACTGGCCTTGTGGCCTTGAACTTGTGCTCGGAATGTGTGGTGACTTTGTGATCCACCCTGAGCTTGTTTTGCTTTGCTTGACTGGTCCTGTGACCCCTTGTTCTCCCCCACTTTGCCTATGGGGGTGTGTCAGATTTATATGACATAGCTACTGTAGGCTATAGTGGGGTGGCACATATGGGGTACAGTTTTCTAGGGTTTGCTTTTTGTACCCAACTTTCACTTAGTCATTTCATTCCTCGTTTCTTCTCACCATATATAAGTGAAACATGCAAACGGTAACCCGGTGCGTGCAAGCTAGCCAGTGAGATGCTGGCAGCGAGGCTCAGGCTAGCCTCGAAGCGTAGGCCGACTCGGGTCAGGCAAACGGTGCATGGTTTGACAATTGTAGCGCGCGAAACACAGCTATCGGTAACGGGCGAAGCAGCTGTCGGTCCTGTACGCGATGTTGGGATGCGCAGTAAGGAATGTAAAAGAAATCCTAGTTTTCCTTTTTCCGCGCAACTATGTTTGACAACTCGTAACACCACCTCTTCCCTTTTCACCTTCTAACAAAAACTGTACTTTCACCTCTACCACCCAACCAATTTCAGCACCACCCATGTGTACCTCTTTGTGTGAGCTGAGCGACACCAGTGTCCAACCACCAACACAACGGTGGTGTTCGCCAGCACATTTCTAAGCGAAAACGAGGGATGACGACGGGATCAGGAAGGTAATTCTCGCCTTCCTGATCCCGTCAGTTAGGGTTCGTTAACCTCCGTCAGCCTGGTCAGCCCGTAAAAATGCTACCGAGCCTCTTATGCCGTCCGAACCTCTTAGAAAAGTGAGGGCGTGGCGAACGCCCCCAATTTTCACCCATTTCGAAATGCTTGACCGCATATGGAAACGGGGTCGCAGTTTCCTCCCCTCGCAAAAACCATCCCCCTGCGATGCCATCGCCATTCTCCTATCCACGGTGAATGGCGATGGCATGGCTGTGGCATTGCACGGCAGAGGGGAACTGCGGAAGGTGGGGCTGGGGGTTCCATATGCGGTTGCGAACTTTCCCGTTTTAGGAATCGAAGTTTCGCGGACCGCATACTCCCAGACCTCCTGGGCGGGTTCCGCCCCCGTTTCCAGATGCGGTCACCATGCCGATGCCGTCAAAATGCCATCTATTTTCGAATGTGCTGGCGAACACCGCCAACAAATCCACCAACCGCAACGGACTCCCAAGGACTTTCCCAACCCAGCCTCGTGTGGTGTGGGGGAGTGAAGCGGAGTGCAGTACAGTACTGTAGTGTGTCAGGTGGCTCTGATCTGATCATCGATTTTCTCTCAGCTGAGCAGGACTTAGAGCCTGCGAAGACTTGTTCTCGTACAATGGCTCTTGTTCTCAACACTTACTGATGCGGATTCCAGCGTTTTGATCGGCTCGCCTCTTTCAACCTCGTTGTCTGTCGCTGCTCTCAGTTTCAACCAGTTCACCAGACGAGCATCGAAACCAAGCGTCGTCAGGGCCGTCGTCTGCCGCTGTTGTAGGAAGTTCGGAATTCTAGGACAAGCTACTGAAGGCTGAAGGAGCGACCACGAAACGGCACGTTAATTGCAGAGAACTTGTGATTCATCGAGCAATTATTCTCAAAGTCAAGGCATTCGTAACAGAATCTTAGGCCTAGCTTGAAGCTTCGAAGGACCAACAGATTCGAAGGATCTTCGCGGCTTCGCAGTATCATTCTTGTCCGCGACTCCTGCGCGACAGGCGAAGATGAGCGAAGTTTTCGGCGAGTACGAGAGGCGGTACTGCGAGATTTCGGGGAACGCGAAGCGTCAAGCAGCGGCTATCCCTTCCTTACCGGCAGGTATGACTCATGACGTCGCTGCCTCCGTGACACGCTCTCTTCCCAAGCACGGTCTATCGTCGTCCTTTGGGAGACATTAAACCTATCAAAGGCAAATTAGAAGCCAAGGATTTGGTGTGCGGGAGACACCAAGGAAGCCAAGGTAGATGAGAGACGCCTCGTATGCGCTCGAATTGGATGATGCTGCGAGTGTGGGAGCTATCTTTACCACTCGCTCCAGTCATTTCTTATCAAAGAGGCTATCTCGAAGCCATCCGTTTGTAGTTTGCCGCTGAGCACTGTTCCGCTTAGCACTGTTCCGCTTAGCATCATTCCGCTTAGCAGAGTTCCGCATAGCAGAGTTCCGCTTAGCAGTGTTCCGCTTAGCAGTGTTCCGCTTATTACTGCTCCGCGGCTTCACCACGCGCATCACCGGAACATCGCAGCGAGCACAAGCTAGGGACACGCGTCTGCTGGACTTTTCGCCCAGTGTGCTCTCCACCAGTGACCGTGCTGCTGCGCTGCGAACCGTAATGCCTACTCTTCGTCCCTCAACCGCTTTTTATTTTCCGTGGGTCTCGCACCGTGCTGTATGCATGCGTGCCTCTTGCATGTCGTATGCATGTCGTCTGCTCGTCTGTGGTGCATGTATGTGCTCCCATGTGCATCTCTGTGCATGCCTGTGTACGAATTTGCATGTATGTGGGTGTATGTGCATGCTGTGCATGTGTGTGTGTCAATGGGTGTGCGCTGCAGATGCCAGGGAGCAACGAGCCAAGGACGTCAATGCCTTGTTGGAAGAGGCCGACTCTCTCGTAAGCCCCGTTCCTCCCATCACCTCCTCCTCTTCGCCTCTTCCCATCGGCTACTCGTGTCTTGACCTCCTCGTTTGTATCTAAAGAAAACACCTGTACGCGGCGCTGCCCGCGGCTTGCCAGTGGCGCAGAAGAGAAGGCGGCGCTGCTGGTGAAGAAGCTGCGTGAATCTAAGGCGCCACCCCACTCCCTCCCATTTCATCCGTACATCAATCGTTACTCATCTTCCCACCCCTTCCCCCCCCCCCCCCATTTCCCCTCCTTCTCCCCCTCCCTCCTTTTCCTCCCCTCTCCTCAGATCCGGCGCATGGACTTGGAGGCGCGCAGCCTGGCAGCGGCGCAGAAGGCGGCGCTGCTGGTGAAGCTGCGCGAGTACAAGGCGGACCTGCAGACACTGCGCCGCGACCTGCAGAGAGCACTGCAGGACGCCGCTGCCTCTGCCAGCGAGGCCGCCAGGGACCAGCTGCTGGGGAACGCGGGGGGACAGCCGGGGGAGGGCATGTCGCAGGAGGAGCTGGCGGTAGGTGGAGTGCGGTTTGAGTGGGTGTTGCTGGGTGGGTGGGGGACTGGTTGCTGGTTTGGTTTGAGCTGATGTGGGTGGGGGAGTGAAGGTTGCGCAGAATGGTGGATGTGTGGTGAGACATGGACTGGTTGTATGGCAGATGGATGGAACAGGAGGACTTGTAATTTGATTTTTCAGCGGGTGTCAGCTTGTTGCTATTTTCGATGCTCTCTTGGCCTCTATCTATCCACCTCCCCACCCACCTTTCCCTCTCCATGCATCCCATCTTCCCATGGTACATACCCTCACCTGGGCACCCCATAGCTCCGTCTCACCTCCTGGTGCCAACCCCATCAACCTCCTGTCCTCTGCACTGTGTCTCCCACACATCCCCTTACTCACATCAACCGTCACTTCACACTCTGTGCGGTGCAGGCAACGGGGGCACAGCGCATGCGGCTGCTGGGGGCAACGGAGCAGCTGGGGGAGTCGTCGCAGCGGCTGGAGGCGAGCAAGAGAGCGCTGCTGGAGACGGAGGAGCTGGGAGTGAGCATTCTGGAGGACCTGCACAACCAGCGCCAGACACTGCTCAACGCACGCGATAACGTGAGCTGAGGGGGGTTCTGGTCGCGTAGTAAGGTGCTGGACCAATGATTAGCTGAAAGATTGGGTGTTTCGGTTCTACTACTTTGTGTGTTCCTATCTGGATTGCCAACCTCTAGGTTTGTGTGGCACTGTTGGTGTGGCTCAAACTTGTTGCTCACCCCTACTTGTCCTGTGTTTTGCAAAATTCCCGCTTGCAGCTGTACGGTGTGGATGCAAGCATTGACCGTGGCCGTCAGATCCTCAACTCCATGGCACGCCGCATGAACCGCAACAAGTGGATTTCCATCTTTATCCTCATCGTACTCATCCTCGCTATTATCATCGTGATCTTCGTCAAGATGCACCGACACTGATCAGAACATGACAATTTGTGATTATTATGGAACGGCAACATCGGGTTCGGGACGAGGTGTAAGTCGATCATCATATGTGCATATGTGCTTGCTTATCTGGTTGGCCTTTTGTGGTGTTTACGATCGTTTCCTCAAGCGTTATTTGTTTTGCACTGAAGTGGAGCGTTCTAACCTGATTGAAGGCTCAGCGCTCAATTAGCCACTAAAATGCATATTACTGCATTATAAGTAACTGCAATCTGTTAGAGGATGTTCTTTATCGGAACAAGGGTATCCGTTGGCCTCGTTGCTGTGCTTCGGGGGGCAAACAGACCAGCTGGTTGTCGGGCCGCTTGGTCTGGTCAGGGGGCTTGCTTCTCCACTGACAGGTGAGCAGCTGGCCTCAATTGTTCGCTGAACCAATGAGGAAATTCGCGAGTCGGCTTTGCAGCTGCTGGCATTTCAGGAAGCTGGCTCGGGTCGCAGTCGCAGTGTCATAAACTGCGACTCGGACTGACATTTCACCTGCTTGCATTTCGATTCGACTCTGAGCAAGGGCGCACAGGGAGAACAAGCGAATCAGCAGAAAAGCTCGAACCAGTTTCTCTTGCGCCACGCTCGCTCACTTCCTAACTAACCCTGGCTGGAACAAAACCATTCTGGGGAAACATTATGGTGTGAGACCTCCCTCTAGCAAAGCTGGGAGTTCATGTTCGTATAGTCGCTGTTCCTTGACCATACACCCCTGGCGCATTCGTTCTGTGCGACCAGCAGTAGCAGCTCACATGGCTTCGGCACACCCCAGTGCCTGCGCTACTGACTTGCATTCTGCTGAAACTGTTTCTCGTGATCGATTCTGTGCCCCCTATCCTTACAGTCTCGCACTCGCGCATTCCAACTGACCTTCACAAGGGCTTCTGCCTTCCCCTGGCCTCCAGTACTGAGACCTTCAGTAGGCTCTTGAGTTATCTCTTCAGTAAGCTCTTCAATAAGCCCATTCCAAGTCGAATTGACCTTAGAGAATGCAGCGCGTCCTAGTAGCCTAGGCGTCCAGTCTTTTCCACTCATAGATTGGCTAGCTACCTCGGCAATTTATCCCTCATCGTGCATGCAACGGGACTCGATTATCTGTGACTAATTAGACCCATGTGCGGCTTAGCTCGTGCATCAAGCGCGATTCGAGCCATGGATGGAATGTAAAGCTCAATCCCTCTCTTTTATGAACTCATCATCATTGCTAGTGGGATCTCACTCTCACAACCATGACCCAGCCGTCGCCGTCACAGCGCATCGAACGCTCGTCGTCGGCGCGCTTCGTGAAGCACGCGCCAAGTGGAACTGCCGCTGCGCCTTTGAGGATCGCCAGCTCAGCGATTTCTCGACAAGCTCTATCAATTCCACCCATAACGGATCAATCTATACCGATTCGAACACCACTGAAGCAAAAGCTATCGAAATTCATTCGCCCGCAGCTAGTACACTTAGCGGTCATTTGCCTCCTCCTCCTCCTGACCCTGCCTTCCGCCACCCGATGCACGGCACTGCGCGCCAATTCAAACCCCTTCTTCCCCCGCCGCTCGTCCCTTGTGTGGGCCGCGCGTGCGCGGGGAGTAGAAGGAGGAGTAGGCGGAGACGAGGCGGATGATCTGGCGGAAGCAGATGGCGCGGGGCGTAAGGGGATTGCGAAGCGGAGAGGAAGCGACGGAGGACGAGGAGGAGACGGAGACGAAAATGGAGACGGAGACGGAAACGGAAACAGTAACGGTAACGGTAACGGAAACGGAACTCCAGCGTCAACGGAAGCAGGCGACACCCAGCTTGATCATCACGGACGCCATCGGTCTCTATCCGCTTTGCAGCACCAACGCCATCGTCGCCACGACGCTAGTACCAACGCGGACTTTCTGCTACAGGCGGGCACGCTCAGTACCCTGCACGCGATCCGGACTCTGCCAGTGGCATCAGTGTCGACAGCGTCGTTACCATTCGCCGCTCCAACGGTAACACGCGCCGACGACGCCGCTACTGCGGTTGTACGCGACGCCGTTACTGTGGGGCAAGACTTGCACTCTTTTGCGGAAGCTAATTCAGCGAGTTTTTCCTCCTCCTCCACCTCCGCATCCGCCTCCGCCTTCCCCTTTGCTTCAACTGCTGGGGATTCCCTCTACCCAATCACCCCACCCGCGCCTATACCGCTCACGGATATTCTCGTCAACGCCACGCCCGCTTCCCCCTCCGTTCCCCCTCCCGCTCCTCCCGCCCCGCAATCGGATTCTGTACCGCCCGCTGCGGTGGGTTCCGCGCCCGCCTCCCCCCCGCCCCCTTTCACGTTTCCCGGTTGGCCGTTCCTCACGCCGCCTCCGCCTCCCGCCTCCGACAACGCCCTGTCCCCGCCCTCGCGCAGCCCCCCCGCGCCTCCGCTAACCACTTCCCCGCCCGCCAGTCCTCCGCCGGCTTCCCCCTCTGTTTCTCCCCCGGCTTTTTTCCCCAGTCCCGCGGGGAAGCCAGCTACCCCGCCTTCAGTTGCTCCTGCTGCGCCGTCTCTTCCGCCTGAAGTCACTCCCCCTTCGCTTGCACCCCCTTCGCTTGCACCCCCTTCGCTTGCACCCCCTTCGCTTGCACCCCCTTCGCTTGCTTCTTCTTCCCCTCCCACATCCATCCCCCTTCCACTATCGCCGCCATTCTCCGCCTCCCCCGATTCTCCCCCTCCCGCTACCCCCCAGGCTTTCCCCCCATCCCACTCTTTCCCACCTGCTTCATCGTCATCCTTCCACATAGGCGACCTTTCCACGTCAGCATCTGCCGTCGTCGTGTCAGCAAGTGCTGTCGCCGCCGCAGCCGCGCTAATTTTCACCATTTTCATCCTATGCGGGCGCTACTCTCTCAAAACCCCCCGCGACGGCGCGCATTTCCCCGCATGGGGGCGGCGCAAAACTCCTCCAGGCGCAGCAGATGGCGCAGCAGGCGGAAACACCGCCAACGCTGGCGGCAGTGGCGGAGGCGACGGTGGCGAAGGTGGTAACACGGTGACGACTTCTCACCCACCCCGCGCGCGGGGATGGTGGTCGCTGTGCATCGTGTGCAGGACTCCCCAGACCACCCCCACTAACGACTCCCTTCCGCCGAGCCCCCGCGCGTGCGCGGAAGGATGTGCGCGGAGTGAAGGCGGGGCGTGGGTGGCAAACTGCGCTGGTTCCGCGTATGCTTCCCCCCACCGCGTGGATATCCCGGTTTCCCCCACCCATGTGTACCCCGCGCGGTCACTGTGGTCTGAGTTTAACGACGCAGCAAACGGGGAGAGTGGCGGTATTGGAAAGACTAATAACGGGGATAACAGCGGCAAGGGGAAAATATGTGCAGGGGGAAGTAGTACCTGGGGTGCCGCTAAATGGGATTTCGCGTCGCTCCCATTCGTTGCTGCGAGCAGCACGAAGACGAGGGTTGCTGTAGCGCGTACGAGTGATGTAAGAAACGTCGAGATGGAGAGCGGCGAGGAGGTGCTGGGGAATGCGATGGGGAGAGGGGAGGAGAAAACGGAGGGCGCGCGGAAGGGGGCGGGGGAGGGTGCGCAGTGGCCCCGTGACTTGGCGATTCTCAGCTGGCTGCTCGGGGGGAAAGCCGCCGCCGCCGCTGCGAAGGGCGCGGAGGGGAAAAAGGCGGGGTGTGCGGGCGACAAAGCGGGCAAGGCGGACGAGGAAGCTGCGGTGTGCTGCATCGCACGTAACGGCGATGGGTTGAGCGATGATGGCGAGTGTGAGAGGGGTGGGGGAGATGGCGGAGACGGTGAGTACGAGAGGGGTGGGGGAGATGGCGGAGACGGTGAGCACGAGAGGGGAATTGAGGAGGGGAGGCAGAGCGGAGATGTGGCGGTGAGAATGGACGGACAGGAGAGCTTGTGCTGCAACGGTGGTAACCATAGTGGTAACCACGGTGGTGGTAGCGACGGCTGTGGTAAGCGAGGATGCGGTGCTGGTGGTCGTGTTGGCGGTGCTGGGGGCGGGATCACGAGTGTGCGGTCGAGCAATGGGCGCAGCTACTCGCGGCGCACGCTGTCCGCACTGCCACTCATCTCCATGCCCGTCTGCCACCTGCCGTCCCCCCCCACCACTCCCCGCTCCGCCGCTGCTGCCACCGCCGCCGCTGCTGCTGCTGATGCTGCTGATGCTGCTGCTGATGCTGCTGCTGGTGCTGGTGGCGGTTGTGGTGCTGGTGCTGCTCCTTCGGCTGCTAGTCGCGCTGCTGCCGCTGCTTGTCCTGTCCCTGGTGGTGCTTCGGATGCTGCTGCTGCTGGTCCTCTATCGTGGATGCTGCCGTTGATGCTGCTGTGGGGGAAAGGGGAGGAAGGAGGGGAGGAGGGCGGCGTGAGAAGGCATGGGGAAGCGGAGGTGAAGGCGCTGGGGGAGAGGATTGAAGGAGAGAGGGAGTACGTTGCTGTTGCTATTGAATCAGAAGAGGAGGAGGATGAATCAGAGGACGAGGAATCAGAGGGAGAATCTTCAGATGAGGAGACAGAGGAAGAGGAGGAAGAAGAAGAGGAGGGGGAGGAGGCGAAAGAGGAGGAGGTGCAAGGAGACGAGGGGGTGGGTGGGAGAAGAGCAAGCAGCAGCGTGCTTCAGGGCAGCAGTGTAATCAGTGGTCCAAGTGCTTCTAGCAACGCGTTTGCTGGCA